ATGTAATACAGCATCCTGAGGGCACACATCACCCCTGAGGGTGGCTTTGGACAGAGGCAGAGGAGGCATGGGCCATGAGTACGAGATCAATGAAGAAAGCAAAACAATTGTTTGATGAAGGGTTCCATGGCTCGACCATCAAGCTTCTCTGTGCACTTCCTCCCTGCTTCTTAGCTACGCCCCCTTCCTTCCTGCTCCTGGTGTGAGGGGTGGTAGCACAGCAAGTAGAAATACAAGCTGAACAGAATAACACTCTGCTGGCTTTAATCCCCCTGAAAATGAAAGCAAATACATTCAGGCCCTTGAATTTGTCAGCTCTGTCTGTCCTCACTGTTGGCTGGGTCTGTCGTGCTCAGCAAAGGAGAGAAGTAGTCTTATGAGATGTAAAAAAAATGCAAACCCATATCACAGATTCATAGCAATCTGACACTGCAAGTGTATTTCTGTCCTAACATGTAAATTAACCTACTTTGAATAAGTTCTTTGAAGGTAACCCATGCTTTAGGATGAATTAATAACATAAAACAAAATAATACTTCACCGACTGAATGAGTTATGTTTCTCCTGGAGCATCCAACTTCTTAGTTTCTAGAAGACATTTTCTAAAAGAAATTTCCTAGGTCTTTATTAGATCTCTTTCATCAAACAAAGTAATATTGAGGGTCATAATAAAAATAGGACCAATGGGTGATGTTTATAACATGTAAAAAAATCACAAAATATTTTTGATTTTTTTTTGCCTGTTGACATATGATTTATTTTTTTTAATTGTGTGGTATTTTGAGAAGATTAGTTTGGAAGGTAAAAACACAGCTTCTTCACACAGAGCTTTTGATTCTGCCAGACCACCTATTATGAATTATCAATGACTTTTCAACCAGACCAATTTTGAATACATAAATACACTAGTGAACAAGTCAATTATGTGTTTAATTGCTTCCCCCTCATAACCTAACCATTCATAATCCATCTTTTCTCTGTTGTCACTTATGGCTAATTTTTACCGCACTTAATGAAAAGGTTTGTTGAGTTTCTCAGTGTGTAACAGTACAGCAGCTACAATGTGCAGCCTACTAAAAGCACCTGTTTAATGTTAAAGTTCTTTGGATTGCAGAAAGACTCAATATTGGGTTTACATGGAATGGTTTTGGTTGTGGGAGTGCTGCAGATGTGGCCTGGGTGGCTTCCAGCCATATTTCAAGACTCGTGTGCAGGATGTTATCTTTACTTTCCAAACAAGTAGATAAAGGCACATGCAGCATGCTTGGCTGAGTTACGTCACTCTGAAACTTTAAACAGAATCATCAGAACCTGAAAGAGGGAGCAGGACTCATTGTTCCTGTAATGACATGCTATCCAAGGACAAAAGGGCTCTGTGCAACTCCCTGCTTTAAAACACAGGGGAGAAGGAGTGTCAGAGAGTGGGACAGAGCCATCAAGTGCTGCCTTGCTCTTCTAATGGGACTTCTCTGAATACAGTCAAGCTTTTATTTCTGTACTTCTGAAAAGCTGGAGCAGCAACATTGTGGTTTGTCTAGGTAAATCCTCAAAAGACAGTTTTGTGGGTTATGAATGGGTTTAAGCTCTCAGCTCTTCTTTGGTTCACCTTAACTCCTCTGGAATGAAACTCTGACAGTTAGTCGTCTTCTAGTCAGGCTGGGTGGATCCTCTTGTCTTTGCAATCCTTGTTTGTAAGTCCATAATATTAAGTCTTTAGCAAAACTTTGAGTTTTCTAGGGCATGATTTTGCCAGTGTGGTTTGCTAAATGGGCCTACCAGCTTGTACTGATTTAAACAATTCATTTTATAACACTTTACAACGCTCTTCAATTGTTTAACTCCACTTGGCTTCTGCTAGGCTGTGGAAGAATGAAGTAAAACAATGAATACAGTTTTGTATTTGTACAGGAATATTCATGTTATTTCTTCCTGTAGATTTATAGACAGAGCTGTAAGTACCATCAGATCATCTTGTCTGACTTGTCAGATGTCAGAGCTGGTACCTGCCATTAACACTTCAGTGTTAATCCTGATCAGCTGTGGCCAACCAAAGTCTTTATTGAAGGAAAATAACCTCTCTTCTTTTAAAGATATCAGGAATGATGATGTCACCACATCTCACGGAATTATCTTTTAATGGGTGATCATCTGAAAACAGTATACACCTCGTTTAGTTTAGCCAGAGTCTAGGCATTAGTTCTTATTAAAGCTTTTTCTAGTAGCTTAAAAACCATTGCATAACCACTGTTTTTTCATTGGGATCGAGTCTATAAAACATGCCCAGGTTACATTACAAGCTTCTTTTTTAAAACAAGTAGATTCAGCCTTTTAAGTTCTCACTATAAAAAGTCTTTATTTGTTATATCCAACCATAACTCTATTTTTGCACTCCCTCCAACTCTTCACGGACCCTTTATCCAGTGCAGATTCCAGTACCTTTCCCACAAATGCTGTAGAATGAGATGAACAGCACCTTGTTATTCTTATATTCTTACATATAAATGACTTCCCGGGTTATACATACAGAATCCAGCTGTCCTCATTTGCCACTAGAGACTTCTGCTGAGTTGTTTATCTTCTATAAGCTGGTGAATTACTGTTTTCCAAACTACAGTCTTCCCTTTCGTAAGGGGGAGTAAATTGTAGCACACATTTGTCATTCCTGTACTCATAACTTCACACTTCAGTGCATCAGAATTAACTGTGGTTAATCAGGCCAGTTTATCAAGAAGGTCTGATTGTTCTGTTTGATTGCTCTGTCTTCAGTATTACTCAGCACTCCATTAATCTTTGTTCTACTGCAAATTTGCCCAGTCAGGATGTCATGCTTATTTCCAAATCACTCGTGAATATGTTGAAGACAGTTTGAGACTGTTAAACTCTTAAAAATTCTTCAGGCCCAACAAACAAACAAACTTTTTTCAGTGATGTTTCTCACTGAGGACTAATTATGAAATCAGCTAACAAATTCTTAACCTTGGTAATACATACTTTTTTCAATCTTTGCATAACAAAATCTTTGTGCAATAAACTATAGAGTTACAGTATAGAACTATTATATCAGTTTCTTCTTCTTAAAAAAAAAAAAAAAAGTTTTGCATTGAAAAGCTTCCAGAAGGTAGCTCAGGGCTTAGCAAATCTGCTAATGATAATCCCAGAAAGGTTTATTATTTTTCATGCAATCACATTGCATCACCAGTTTACTAGCTCATGCACCGTACTGGTGGAACACCCTGTAGTTTTTTCACCTTCCTTTACAGTCTTATTGCACTCTGGTCACTGAAGGAGAGATCCAGTGCCCTGGTTTGCAAAATCAATGCATTCATAGGAATTTTTCACTTTGGCTTTGGCAGTATGCTGGCATCACATGCAGTACATACCTAAGATAAGGAAATTAAAGAAGAATTTCTATGCATTATTCAAATAAAAGTTAGACTTTCGCAAAGCTTAATAGAAATCACAGAATGGCCAAGGTTGGCAGGGACTTCTGAGGATCATCTAGTCCAACCCCAAAACAGATTTACAAAAATAAAAAGAAATGCACAGTTAGGCCTACCTTTATTCAGATCAGCTCTCAACAGCTTCTCTCTCCTTTTCTTTCATAGCTCTGAACTTTTTAAGCTGTTTACCAAACCATATGGCTTGATATTCAGTTCTTATACAAGCCAGATAGGTTCCTTATTTCTGCCTTAATGGAAAGGGTTTGAGACATCATTTTTAGTGCAAATCTCCCCAGGTGTCCTTACACATACATACACACACATGTATGGAATCTGACTGGGTGGAACCATCTCCTGTCCAGACAGTAAACAGTACTACTTAATGACTGTCCTAAGGCTAACCCATACATCATCGACCCTTTTTTGGGGGAAAACACTCCCTTGTGTGATGCAGTGCAGTCTTCAGTGTATAATTGCTTTATATGCTGAAAATTGTATTTCATATAAAGCATACATCAACATATGTTACACAAAACATATGAAGACTAAATGAGAAAAATATATGTTATTTAAAACTAGCTCTTGATTGAAAATAAGCATCACTATTCACTGTTTCAGGGATGATGATGTATTCAGCATGTATAACTGCCAGCCTGTATTTTGAGGAATACCAAGAGAACCCAGAATGGTAATATATGATAACCGATTTTCATTTAATCAGATATCATGCCCACTATTCCACGCTTACCAGGGCAACCAATCTAATAGCACCCTATAACCACCTCTTGCTACTTTTGAAAACTTGCACAACATTCAGTTTCTTCCACTGTTCTGCTGCTCTCCAGTATCCCAAAACTTAAAATAGAGGAACTGTGGACAGTCAGGAATCTTCCTAGACCACAATTTTAGAACTAATTGGTATGAATGATCTCTGTTTAGTCTTAATATATGTCACTTAGTGGCTATGTGTCACAAAGCAGTTCATCATATTTGTTGATGGAACTTGTTAAGTTTCTTTTGTTCCCAACATAGAACAAAAGTGTTTTATTAGCATTCCTGCTTTAGCTGCAGTTAGTAATCATTTCAGTATCTATATGAAGCAATGAGTCTGGACCTCTGATGAGATTTTGCTTTTTCCATGTATACACATCTTTTATATTTACAAATATGTTTATTATTGTTAACCATACAAATCATGTTTTTTCTATACTTAATGACTTATGATCTACTTTGAATTTCCCATGTGTTGTGCATTTCTCTTTGACACCCAGCTGCTGCTTTCTTACCACTTCTGAAAGAGGTTGGGCTTTCAGCCAAAATTGTGAAATTAGGATAGCTCGTATCATGCTGCTGAGATTTCCTCAACTGCAGAAGGAGAAGATAGTTGTGCCCCTAAGACATCTAATTCTGCTAGCCCACCCTGACTCTTCCCGCTGGTTTGCAGCATACAGCTGGAATGCTGAGCCTCCAAAGCAATAGGGATTCCTCCTTGTCAATCACACAGTGTTTTTTTATCAACAGCATGTCTGACCTTGTTATCATTCTGTATTTTTGGATATATAAGGAATAATTTGTTTTCCTTTTACCTCATATCTCTCCAACATGTTCTAAATGAGTAGGCTTCAGTAATTACACCATATAGGGTCAAAATATCAAAAATGTGAGAATTGCATGTAGTATCTGTTTAGATGGACTGCTTTACTAACATGTGGCTGCCCTACATTTATTACAGTGAAGATTCATCAATGCCCGACCCCACAAATCTGTCTTTCTTTAATTTGTGTTTTCTTGATTTGACTTAAGAGTCATGGTTGTCTTTGATGTCCTTAGGTTATAGCACAATATCATTTTGCAATGGTGATTTATCTCAGCATGTAATAGGATGTACTTATATAGTTGCCTATCTCGATCTCCTGGAGACTGTTTCTTTCCTTACGCATTTCTGAAACACTTCCTTAAGATGTTTTGCAATTGCTTCTTTAAAGTCTTTCCATGTGGAGCTGTTAACATAGTTTAATCTTTTTGATCAGCCCTTTTGTGAGTAAGTTGCCACACTAGATTCCTGCACAGGTTTGTATTTTGTTCAGCGGGAGCGCGTGGAATGATAGGTGGACTCTTTTGCCTGCCTGCCCTGAATTCTTCCACACTTGGCTCCCCAGCCAGCTGTGGAGACTTTTAGGACACCCTGAGAAAAGGCTTTGTTTTGTTAGCAGCTGTGTGGTGTCAGGCATGTAGCATCACTGAGAGCACATCCCATGCACCGCTGGCACAAATAGTGGATGATAGCTCATTCTTAGATGAAAACATAGATGGAATGACTGTGTGACTCCCGTCAGAGTCTGGACCTGTTAAACACTGCTTACATGACCTACCAGGTGCCATGAAAAAGCTGGTACTCCATGCTCTTGATGACAACACACTGTATATAGGACAAGAAACAGCACTATACACGCATCTTCAGATTGCACAATGGGTCACAAGGCTTGAAGTCAACATGGCAATGGTAAAATTTTTGTGCCATTGTCACAAGAATGTCGACTGGGAATTTCAGTGGGATGAAGTGAGTGTATCACTGGGAATTTCAGGTGAGATGAAGTGAGTGCATCACCAAACACTTTGCTTCCTCTTCAGTCTGTGGGTGAGACAGAAAGTGTTCCCAGAGCTTGACACCCTTGCCTTGGCTGGGTATGCCTTCCCCAGGGAACTCCTTTTGCCATAGCTTGTGCTTTTTCCCAGGCTGCGGTACACTCAGTGGCTCACAGCTGGAGGAGGAGAGGAATTAATCTTTTAGGGCAGAGTCTCTTGGTTGTTTCTGTCCCTCTCAGTTCTTTAGGATGGCATTTATTCCCTTGTGGTACTGCATCAGATGTGGGCCTTGATCTCACAGTGCACTGGTACTGTCATATCCTCTTCTGTAACAGAAAAATGACAGAAAAGTTAGGAATTTGGTCATGCAAAAACTTGAGCCATTGCCATGTGGAGAAAAGCAGTCTCCTGCTGTGTGGTGAAACACTCTGCCTATGTCAGTCTGGGCTGAAACCACAAAGTAGTCAGAAAGCTGCCATGCTGGCCTTTACACTGAGGAAGTAAAGGGGATTCCATTTAGCAATAGGGAAAGCTTTGAGAAACTGCCAAAACCAGAGACAGACCTTTCACCTGCATTGGGGTCCCCGATCCAGCCTAGGATTCTCAAACCAGAGTCCTCATGGGAAACCACCTTTCTCTCTCTGTAGTCAGAAAACGGACTGGGAAAAAACAGCTTTATGTATGGACTTCTTGTAAGTACTTTGTCTCCTGGAGCTAACTGAAGTAGTCACTGAAAATTTGATGTTGACAATAGCATATAATGTCTGATACGTTAGCCAAGAAGAGGAGGACTCAAAGGCATCAGGTGAGGTGCTAGGTCAGTATTGGGATACAAAGACACAATTAACTTACCACAGCTGAAAATGGTTAGAAACCCTTTACTTCAGGATAAATGGTGTTAGCTGTTACAATACCTCTTGCTGCTTGATGGGAGACTTTGGTGATACTGGCGAGAACTAGGCTCCTACTTAGAGCACACCTTAAAAAAAGGAAGACTAACAAATTTATATTTTAGTTCAGTAATGAAGGGTGTTGCACATGTCAGCTATAGCAGAAAATAGATTATGTTTTCCATAAGAAAAGGGGAAAAATTTTTTTTTGAAGACTAAAGAATGTTACAAATCTGCTTTACTGCCAGTATTTGTCCAGGATGTTAATACTTTTCAAACTGTTCCTGAATTATATGTGAGTCTGATTTTTCTATGAGTCTAGCGAAGTCAGTAGACATAATACAACCAATGTCTATAGCTAATATTCATCCTGAGAATGAACATGTAGAGCTCTCCTAAAAGCTGGATAATGCTGGTAGATTAAAACATCCCTTTTTCTGGTGATCTGACCTTATTGTCCAAGTTTCATCAAGCTGTTTCAATCTTTCTTTTTTAATGTAGTCATATTTGAATCATGAATATATATATATGTACTTATGGTGACCAATTGTTGTGGTTCCGCTCGAGTGGGCAGCCAAGCTCCACCACAGCCGCTCTCTCACTTCCCCTCCTCAAAGAGGAATGGAGAGAAAATATGATGAAAAGGGCTCAAAGGTTGAGATAAGGATGAGAAGATCACGCAGTGATTATTGTAACGGGCAAAACGGACTCAGCATAGGGAGATAGTAAGATTTATTGCTTATTACTAACAAGCTAGAGAAATGAGAAACAAAGGAAAGAAACCAAAAGCACCTTTCCCCCCCACCACCACCCTCTTCCACCTCCTCCCCCTGAGCGGCACGGGGGAATGGGGGTTATGGTCAGTCTACAGCGCTTCTCTGCCGCTCCTTCTCAGTCGCTCTCATCCCCTGTGCTGTGGGGTCCCACCCACGGGATACGGTCCTTGACGAACTGATCCGGCGTGGGCTTCCCACAGGCAGCAGCTCTTCCAGAACTGCTCCAGATATGGGTCCGTACCATGGGGTCCATCCCTCAGGAGAAAACTGCTTCAACCTGGCTCCCCTACGGGCAGCAGCTCCTGCCAGGTCACCTGCTCCTGCGTGGGCTCCCCTCCACGGGCTACAGGTCCGGCCTGGAATCTGCTCGGGCAGGGGTCTTCCACAGGTGGCAGCCTCCGTTGGTGCAGGGCCACCTGCTCCACCATGGTCTCCTCCACGGGCTGCAGCGTGGAACCCTGCTCCACCGTGGTGCTCCATGGGCTGCAGGGGGACATCCTGCTTCACCATGGTCCTCACCACAGGCCGCAGGGGACTTCTGCTCCGGCGCCTGGAGCACCTCTACCCCCTCCTTCTTCACTGACCTTGGTGCCTGCAAGGCTGTTCCTCACTGCTCTCACTCTCCCAGCTGCTGTGTGGCACAGTGTTTTGTTTTTTTTTTCCCTGTCTTAAATATGCTCTCACAGAGGTGCAAAACAACATCACTTATTGGCTTGGCTCTGGTCAGCAGCGGGGCCTTTACCAAACATGGGGCAGCTTCTAGATCCTTCTCACAGAAACCACCCCTATGGCCCCCTGCTACCAAAACCTTGCCATGTAAACCCACTACACCAATTTATCTTATTGAATAACAAGTATATGGTTGCCAACAGCAATGATGTTGATCAGACAGAGTTTCACATTCATTAACATATTTGAGCCTGATTTTTGTTCTTATTTGGCATTGTTTTCATAAAGGTTTTTCCTGATTTCTAATATGAACGTGAATTTTTGCTTTTATTCAGATTGCATTAGTAATTTTGACATGCCTGAAGCTTCATATCATTATGAGTCACAGGAGCTGCAATTTCCTGTATCCTTGGGGAGTAGAAGATGGCTGCTTCTAGCAAAGATAAGCATCAGGAATAAAACAGAAGGGGTTTTTTTTGGGAAGCTGAATCCTTCTGTTCTACTGAAAGGTTCAGAAAGGTTGCCTGGGAAATCTGAGGGAAAGGTGTGCTGAAGCAAGAGGGGCTGGTGACATTGCTATGGTATGATGTGAAAGAGTAAATAGGGATGATACATAAAAGGGAGTATGTAGGCTACAGAGGAGCTGGAAAGGATGTAAAAGATGTTGAAGCACGTTACTGGGAGAATGAGAAAGAGCAAAAGAAAACACACAATCTAGCTGATTTTTTTATTATTTTTTTTTTCTTAGCTGAGTTTAATAATCTTTGAATAATTAACTCTGATTCAATTCATGTGTTTGAGCAGTAATATTGTAATTGGCCTAGCTCAGTCATTGGTTGTAGTTTTAAACTGTGCTGATGGTAGTCTAAGACACCATCAGACTAGTTAGGAAAAAGGGAAAATACAGGAAAGAGCCTCAAATGACAACTACTTTGATGCAGATAAATGTTGGCTGCTCTGCATCTTGCCAGGAGCTCACGAGCTGACTGACAGGCCCTGGAACTGCTGTGAGCATGGGTACTGAAGGGTGGCCTGGCTCCTAGAGCTGCATTAAATCTAACATCTGTCCCCTGGGGCTATGCCCCAGAAGTGGTGAGTGCATTACTTTTGGGTTCTAGGTTGTAACACTCCTGTCCTTTCTGTCATTCTCTTTGTAATTCCCCATTTGCCCCAAACATGTCTCAGATGTTCATGGAGCAGCTGTTAAGCTTCCTCAGATTGCGGCCTGGGTTACTACAGCAAAACAGACTTCATAATCCCCCTCAATATCCCCTGGCCATTACCTACAGCTGCACAGCCTGGTCTCTGCTAACATTAAAGCTGTTCCTGAAATGAGGTGGGGAGGGGATCTTGGAGCAACCACAAATCTACCACATGATCCTTTAAATGATTAATATAATTACTATTATTATTATTTAAAACTTAAGAATTTTAAAAATCCAGAAGTCCTTAAAATTGTAAAATTTTAAAATTTAAAAATGATCACAGGGGCCTTAGGCCATCCCAGACTCAAACATGGAGGGAAGTTGGTACTAAAGACAAAAAATTTAGTGGTACATGCAGCATTCTCCACTACCTGGTTATCATAAAACCTCTTGTTTTGCCAATGAACCTGGAAGAGGATTTTTCATTTACAAGCTGATAGAGCTTTTGCCTAAGGGTGTTTTGCAGCTTCACCTTGCAACACTGAATCATGTGTTAACACAGATGGAGTTCCTCAATGTCTGCTTCTCTAAGTATCAATAGCTTTGGAAATGAGTGATTGAAGAGGATATGTTGATTGCTCAGGGTGGAATTAATCTCACGTATATTTAGCTATTCAGAAGCTAGGTGATCTGGATGCTTTTCCAGTCAAAGGAGAGAGAAGAACATAATGTAGATGGGCTTAGTCACTGCCTGGAGATACAGTACTTGTTTTTTGTTTTGTTTTTTTTTCTCCATTCAGTACATAGGGAGCACAGACAACAGGCTTTAACTAGAAGTCTAACTTGTAGATGACCAGATTTAGGTACGGTAGAGCCTATCCTCAGTGCATGCCTTGTGAAAAGGTCATGCTTGTTTCTAAAAGAATTGTACCTCATAGCAAAAGGGAGTTTGAACTTTGAACAAATTTAGGAAATTCAGTACTAGCACCAGCTTTGAGTCAAAGGTACATTTGGCTGCATCTGACTTGAGCTTAAAGAAGATGTATTTCGTATATGGAAGGCCTGAGTCAGGAAAGAAAAGTTAGTTGTTAGGCAACAACAACCCTTAGTCATGCTCCTAGGGGATTCTGGAGGTTTTTATCCCCTTCATGTCCTTTTCTCTTAAAACCAAAGGTGCAATCTGACACATAAATGAAAACCACCTTTCAAGCAAAAGCCTCACCCATTAGCTTACACATATTGCAGAAACAAGACCTGGAGCTAATAACGTTTGTGGGGTACAATTACAGAAATTGTTGCTAATGTTCCAGTGGCTCTGTCCTGATATGGTGGCTGTTCTGTGTACTTCAATCAGGAACACAGATTGTAGAACAAATTGAAAAACTGTATACTTCTGTGTGTACATTTGCCCTTCTCTCAATTTTTTCTGGTCATCATTTTTACAGGGAGAAAAACAAGGCAGAAAATTTTGACATTTCTTCCTATCTAGAGAGGTGACGGGTGTAAACGCTCACGTGAAGCAAAGCATGAGCCAAGGAGTAGGAGAGGCTCTGGATCACTGCTTTGAAAATCTTCTACTCAAGGGCTTATAAGGGCACTTGTTTATTTTGTTTATTTTATTTCGTTTATTGCTGTAGTTTATCTAATTTCAGTTTCAGTTAAGCAGTTCCTGTTCCATCTAAAAGTTTCAATATGATAAAGGTGAGAAAATAACTTCATAGAAAAAAAAAATCCATGTAATCAAAAAAAAAAAAAAGTAGTTCTTTAATAATATATATTTTAGAAAATATATATTTAGACATTAGAAAATGCAGGCATAAAATTAAACCTAAGAAATCAAATCTTGCAACTATGTAATACTGCAGGGAAGATGATCAAACTGTCTTACTTGTTCTCCTTGTAACACCAGCTTTTCATCTGAATTCCTTTGTGCATATAGGAAGTGCCTGCAACAAGACTTCTGGAAGTGACTAGGTTTGTGTCTAGTTTCTGTCAGCCCAGGTTCTTGTACAACACTTATTACCACAGCCAGAGTGGCTGTGATTTCATACTTATGCAGCTGTCTAATAGGAAGCATCATGCTTTGTCATCCTATTAATCTCAAGTTGTTTCATAAGCTCTAATTTTAATCTTTTGAGTGGATTTTCAATATAAATGTATGTGTACCTGATGATGCTTGCATAATGGATTAGAAAATTTAATCACCAAGCTTCCTCGATGTGTGCTGAATACATGCAGATCCTAACTACACAAAAGGTTCATAAAATGAAGAGGTTCAGTCCATTAAAATCCAATAATCTCCTAGTAAGGACCAGTTGGCTGGTGATTTGGATATGGTTGCTCAGAAATGTGAATTTCCTTTGCATAAGGAAAAAAACAGATGAACAAAACTGGACTGAACAAAAGAAAAATGAAGCATCCAGCTTTCCTAAGACATGAAATTTAGTTTTCTGAAATATTTCAAGATTTTTTTAAGGTGAAATATTTAAGTCTCATTTAAACTTTCTGAGATGCATTTTATATTAAGTATAAAATGCAGAAATAAGTAAGGCATTTCAAATGGAAGTGTGATACATTATGTTTTAGGTATCACAGAAATGTTGCTTATCAAATTTCTCCCTTCTTTCATTTCTTTTGAAGTGGAAAGCTATTAAAACATACAAGTATACAAATCATGATGCAACTGTACTTTTATAGTGGAAAAATATTACTTCAGGAAAATTGCTTATGTATGAAAATATTAAGAATTTTCTCTGATTATTCCCATCTTCCCCTGCTCCCTCACTGTGTGTCCTCAGGAAGGACTGTGTCCTCCCACACTGCCCTTAAGTGTATGTCTTCTCAATACATTGTTCCTGTGTGTGTGGTGTTTTTTTTTTTGTTTTGGTTTGTTTTTTTCTTCCAGAGCTGTATGCCTCTTCAGGACTGCATCTCAGCTCCAAATCACAGGATCACAGACTAAATCTGTTCCTGGTTAGCTCCTCTCCATCCTACCAGAGGGAGTGAGGAACCTTTGTCAGGTAAAGAGAGGTAAAAGAGCCACGTAATGAGGAAGGAGATGTGTGAGGAACAAGGAACACAAATGGTGCTGAATACAAGTGGGTTGAGAGGGCAAGTCACTCAAACGATCTGTCTCTAGGTCTCCATCCTCTTCCTAGTAAGCAGCTTAGTAACACTTATCCACAGCTCACTGTTTCATGGTCATTTCTGTAAGTCCTTAAATAAGGTACTATGTGAATTATATTGCCAATCAAAAAGTCCCCTGGCATTTTTTAACCAAAAAGTTGTCCTGCTACCTTTTGACTTCTCTCCTTCCATCTCTCTATGGAGGCAATAATGCACAGCATTTTTCTTTTTATGAAGATTCTAGTTAGAAATGTCTCTTAGGCTGGTATGGTCATCCTTTTTAGATTAACACTGTAAAGTTTCCTCTCACAGGTTGAGGTCATCAGTAAGATTTTTACTGTTAATACATTTCATCAAGCCCTAAGGTGAGAATACTTTCATCTCAGCACACTCTGTTCAGTCACAAGAGCTGCAGATGAATGTTTGCACCTTACAACAAACTTACTCTTAGGACAAATAATGTGGGTGGAAATTTTTCCTGTTTCAGAAATCATGGAGGGGTGGAGCTCTGACTCAAGGTAATAAAACACCTGTTCAGCAACTTCTGACACTCTTCAAGGCTGTAAATATGTTTCAGGAGACTCTGGAAACTGTGGAACCTAATATTCATGTGTCATTTGCAGCACCTGCTTTTAATGCAGCAGTGATTTCAATGGCATCAACATCTGCCTTTTCTCAGGTAAGTGGAAAACAGAACAAACCGGGCAGGAGTCTCTGAGGATTTGATTCAGATTTGTCCCCAGAATACAAGCAGCTCAAGTCCTTCCTTACCAGTAGGACATAAGTCTCCAAGGAAGCAAGATTGTGCTTCCTTGGTTATTTACAGCTGTGAGGATCTGGAGTAAAAACCTTTTCATGTAGTGCAGAAATAGCTGCCACCCTCCTGACATGTTTCTTCTGTCTGCCACCTTGCTGATGTGAATGCTGAGGCAGTGTATATTGCCCATTCCACATTGTAATTCAACATCAAGGAGTTGAAATAAGTGGAAAAATAGATTTTACTATATTTTTGATTCTTTGTCCTTCTTCTCTCAACAGCATCCCAGCAGCAAATCAAACCCATTGAAAAATGAAGAAAGAAAATGGATGATGCAGGCTATGGCACAGAGTGACGTTCATGCCAAGGTACTAACTTCAACAAACTAATAATAGGACAAAAAACTTCATTTTTTGAGAAGGGCATGGCTTTTTTTCTTCTATATTTGGTTCTTATCAGAGATTTACATGCTTATTTAGAAATATGAACATTTCATGGAAGAAAACTTTCCTTAGTTGAAACATCAGCATTACATTCCTTTATCTATTTATAAAAAGTGTATTTTTACATGGTTTTATTCCTTAGAGAAATTTCTTAGGGAAAATGTACTCAATCTGCTGTTAAAATGGGACTGAGTTTGGCCTTCTTTTAATACTCTATTGACTTTAATGGAGTTATAGCCCTGCATGAATGGAGAATGTTGCCAGTGTCAGCAAGTCAGAATTTAACTGTTAGTAATCCTTTGGGTTTTCATCATTAATGCCAGTTTCCAGGAAAAGAAAATAATAATCAGAATATAGAAATGGTGTCTAAATATCACTGGGGTGTGAAATTTGATGTAAATGGCGAAGCAGCATAACCAATACTGACATTGCATTGATATGTTCAGAATTTGCTCTCTGTGTGTATGCTAAAGATCATAAAGGGAATGCACTAAAGCAGGAAAAGCAGCTATTCAGGAGAGCAATGACCCAATCTCAGTTGCATTACTGTAATGATTTGCTATATTTATACTGATGTGTTTTTGTTTAGAAATACCCATAGATAAAGGCATCCAGCCCTCTTTTACCACTGATGTAGTTATATGTATATTAGGTTGTTAGACTTCAGCACACTTTTGAATATATGTAAAGTAACAGAAAAAAAAATTGTGGTCACAGGCCTGCATGACCCGTGCATGTGGGGGTCATGTGACCCTTTCTACTGCTTGAATTAATTGTTCTTGCAATACTTTTTCCTTATCGAGTCAACCTCCAAAAGTTCTTTTGCTCCCTACAAGTGTTTAACAACAAAGACATTCTCAGGCACTCTTTATTTGACTGCTGGCTCTTGAACATGTCTTCTATCCCCTGTAACGAAGCTTGGCAGCAAACTGGCATTAAAAACACAGGCTTGTGTGAGCTGGCCAATTTCTGCCTCTTACTGGCATTGGGTTCCCTGGGCAGCTTTTGTTTTTTCTCTTGATTTTTGTAATCTAAATTTGCCATGTCTGAGAAGAGGATGAACATTAATGGAGAGGTATTATAAAGGACAACATGTTTTTTTAATGTTAATTCTCAACATTTGCCTGAGTATTTGTTTCAGTTTGAGAGGAGTTCTTATCGCACAGTTATATGTTGAATAGATACTGGACTGGTTTAGAAAAACATGCCCAGGGGCTGCTGCACAAAATTTAGCTCTGTTCACTATTCACAGAACAAAGTTAAAAATCCCCCATTGCTGAAGTATCTGGAAAATGTATCGACTTTGTGACACACACCTCACCCACCACCCCCTTCAGGTTTTAAAATGAATGAGAGCATGAAGAGAGCATGTCCGTAGCTGTTTCTGGGAGCCCTGAGTTGATAGTTTGCCTTCTAGCACCTTAGTCATGAATACAGGAAACAAGAAACATGCTAAAAGAAGACCATAAATAGCTGTGAGTAAGACAGTCAATAATAACAGTAAATCTAGCAAATTTATCACTATTACCTGTTAGTGCATAGTCTTAGACCTCTACAGAATAATTTGCTGTTTCTAAAAATGCAAAAATTGATCAACAAATTATCGGGTTAAAAAGACTAGATGTTGGCTTACCTGTAAATGCACAGAAAACAAACAGTAATGCAGGCAAGAAACCAATAAGCATAATCTCAACTTCATATCAGGAATTGCTCCTGGCTTAATATAGAAAGTTGTGCTGAAAGTGGCTATTTATGATAATAAGTCACTCATAAATAGTTGATTACATTACCAACTCCCTGAATCATTTATTTTATTGTAACATGAATGATAATCATCTGCAGCAACCAAAGATACTTGATTGCTTCTCTGAGGTTCACATCACTAGCTCTTTCCTCTTGTTAATTCCTTGAATCTTTTTTTTTTTCTTTCCCAATCTCCTATTTGTGCTGTATATGCATGACTGTATGCTGGGTATGCTCTGACTGACAAAGCCTGTATCTTGCTGTTTCACAGGACTGAGATTGCTCAGCTGATACAGTGAGATTTTTCTGTGACACAGGCTACCTACCTCCTCTTGTGCAGTGTTTCCATACACAGATCATTGGCTTTTCTCTTATGCAGTACCCACTCAGAGGTCTCCTTCTGGAAGACAAATAATTCATAATTTTCTTCCTTCTCTTGGACCGAGCAATCCTCCTATGACACCAAATATCCCCATCCACATTCTCATTGTGACTCCATATGAAATGAGGTGTTTGAACCCTTGCACAATCTTTGATGCTATCTAATCTTTGCAGCATTTTACTCTTAATGGAAATGCTTAATACATCTTCATAGATGTATGTTCTGTTTATTGTTTTCTTCCTAATATAATTCTCCCATATGCTAGCTCTTCTATCAGTCTATCTTCATTATGTGCACAATATGAAGTCCCTGTGGAGCGTTCTTCACATAACCTCTCTTCTAGTCCACTGCAATGATGTGTGCATGACACTCAGGAATGAGCATATGACTTTTTGATGTAGACATGTCTTCATACAATCCATATTTGTCTCTTTCACTCTACTCTTTATAAATAGTCATGGTAATTTATATGCATCCGACAGCCTATAAAAACATGAGTTCCAAAATGCTAGTTGAAGGGCTGATGCCACAAGTTTATGCTAAAGGAAGCTAAGAGAGCTCCAATGCTAGATGTTCTAGTGTTTCCCTTCACTCTCATTTCTTTCTCTTGAAATATATCTGCTGAAGCTTTTATTTCCCTAGTCTGAAAACTCTTTTTGAGAAAAGTATTGAAACAAATGGACAAACCAAATGAGTCAGCAGGTTTCATTAAAAACCAGACATAAGAATAGTCTTCAGGTAAGAAGATAGGTATTCCTAGTTGACAGAAAAGGAGCAGTCCGGCTGAGTAGTGTGGAGCTGTTTCAGCCCAATTTCTGATAATGCTGAGATCTTTACTCCCTGGTTTAAAACAAACAGCATTATAAAATATGAGCACCCTATTTAGGACAAGTTATTGATTTCCTATTTAGTTTTGGTATAAACCCAGCCAGAAGCGAAGTAAGTGCATGTATATCTTCCACTCCTAGTAGCCTGATAACGACAATGTGTTTTTTCAGCACTTCATGGCCCGCTTGATATTTTGGGGGTGCTGATTCTGTACATCACAGCAAAAATTATCAGGATTTTAACAAGGCAACTTACTAAACCTTCAACTTACTTACTTTCTGAAGTCAAGATTGCTGGTTATAAGCTTGAGCTCATAGGCAAAGCTTTATGGTTATTTTAAGCATTGGTTAATTTTTCATCAAATTACCCAGCATTTTTTTCAAAAAGTCATTTTTGCCGTTTAGGGGATAACTTCATAGCTAGACTATTTCTGTAATTTTTTTGAAAATCCTTTTTATGACCTTCATGTCTTCCATCTTTCTAGAGATGGAAATGCTTATATTAAACTATTTTTTTTCATGATGAATTCCTCATGATCCAATGCTTTACACACTTCAGCTGATGTACTGTTTTGTCTCACTGATTTCTTATGCTTTGACCTTTTAAGCAGTCTTTGACTTCTATCACAGTAGCAGCAGTAAATGTGCTTTCTCTCATTTCGCTTGAGAGTTTCTCCCTGTTGTTTTAATTAATGTTTATCAGTTAATAGATGACACCTAATTATTTCATCATCATCCACCACCACTCCTCCATTTTCTCTTCAGATAATCTTTTCAAACTTCTAGTCATTAGCTTTCACAACAGCTTCTTTCTTTTGTTCCCTATTGTTTTTTTGAAGTGACTTTATTAAGAATTACTGATCTGTTTGTCTTCGGCAATTATATAAATTACTTGTTGTGAATATCAGTGACTACCTTCAAGCCTCCATGAAGCGGCTACCTTTTGCTTGACTTTGATACATACTGAGCCTACAGTATTGTTTGGAGGAATACCTTTCTGAAATTTTACAAGACTCCTTGTAGTTAGTTTGGTCTATTTATAACGTCCACCAGCCCTTGCTATTAGAACTGAAAGCTAATACCTCCTTATTCCCAAATCAACCTCACTGTAATGCCAAAAATTGTATTTCTATTGATGCTTTACTTGGTCAAATAAATCACTGTTATCTTGTAATCTTGACTGTCTCAAAGTCACTTTTTAATGTATGCTTTATTCTGTTTATATCTTTCTCTCTCTGGAGGTGCACAATCCAGAATCTGCGGGTAATATCTTTGTATATAGTTAAATCCTCCTTATGGATGGTAGCAGTCAGGCCTAGGGATTTGACAGACTTTGAAACTGTGTTTTTCTTTCTTGTTCAGAGCCTTTTCCTCTGGTGCTCGCTACAGTCCTACTGTGTTTACCCCAACTCCATAATTAGAGTTCCCATTATAATTACACATCAGCTTGGAAACTTGTTCAATACTGGCTGAATTTTCAGAACTCTCATTTTTTTCTCTTATTTCTATTCCTAAATTATGATACAGGTCACCATCCCCTGTCTCAATGAATCCTTTTCATTCAGTTTCTTGTGTACAAGCATGGTACAACTCTCATTTTTATAAATTTCAGAGCTTTTGCTAAATTTTCCACGATGGTTCCCATTGTCAGGGACTCAAGATAGCATCAGCAGAAACAAACGTAAAAGCTGATATCCTAGTTGCTTTATCTGCTGCTGATGGTCATCTTTTCTGAAGATGTAAATCCCTAAAGCACATGTGAGTGGCACAACTTTTATAGACCCAGTTGGTTAGGCCTAATATTTTCAGCCGGAAGTTGGAGTTAACCTTCTCTGAGCTGGCCTGTAGTCACAACCATGTGTTTTGTTATATTTTGAATCATAGAATCATTAAGATCATCTAGTCCAGTTGTTCACCATTAACGGGATAGCTGTCCATCCGTTAATGGGATAATTGCATCTGGTAAGGAAAACTTGTATTCCCACAAAGCAAGCTAGGCATGTTTCTCAGAATTTATGGGTTGTCCTGGTGGCCTGATACTTTAATACTCTCTCTAAGGAACTAATGCGTGTTTAAGCAGCCTTGCATCATGAAACTGATCCTCCCTTTTAAAAACAAAGAGAATCTTAAAAAAAAGTCTCTCTACTCTGCCCACACGCATACCACATCCTCCTCCTTCCATCCAAGAACTGCATTTAAAAGCAGAAACTTCTATATCAGATTTGATTCTAAGTAGAGCACAACACAGGCTCAATAGTTCACCAAAATTAGGGCATCTTTGATTCATGGATTCACTGAGTTTTGTATTGTTGTATTGGATGCAAGCAAACACTTGTATGATTTCATGTATCTGGCTAACTGAACTTTCTCAGCTTATCTACTCTTCACATTCTTATTCACCCTTTCCTTCTACAGTTTCTATATGGATCTTTAGGTCACTGCAGACTGGGAATTGGTGAAGAAAGTGTGTTTTTTTTGCCTACTTTATTAGTGCTGTAATACCAATTAGAAAAGAGGACTTCAGCAGAACCTAGGTTTCTTCAGTTTGGGATGTGTGTATTTATTGTAATGAGAACCAAGCTTTAAACCACATCTTCATTATCTTTTTTTTTTCAGCAGGAAGAAATGTCACCTTACTCCCTGCTCACTGTAAGAATAATAAAGATGAGAAATGCTCATCAGGCAGACTTCTGTAAGTACCAGATTCTTTGTACTGATACTATACACGTCTAAAATTACTGAATCTCTGCTGGTGCTAGCCGCTACGCAAATGCAAACCACAGAGGTCATACTATCTAAGAATTCACAATCAAAGTCAAATTCTGCCACAGATTATCTGTTTCCACTTTCAGAGTTTTGTTTCTGTTGCTGTGTTGTCTTTTTTGTTGTTTTTAATTTAGCAACAGGTCAATAATGACAGGTTGCGTATCGATTAAAACTTGAAGACTGGCATGTCAACAAAACATAGAATTCTACATTGCTTTTCTGACATGTTGGCTATTTCAGAGATGAAGACATTTTAACGCTAGTTTTAATACCCAGGTGTTTACATCCTATGTCTATAACAAATGAGTAGAATACAGGTCTGAAATACTTAAACATCTTTCACTCTCAACTCTGGTGGGATTTCTCAGAGCACATCTTGGAAGTCCAGTGAAACTGCATTGTGTACATGTCCCAAGCATCATGTCATCAGCCATGATGTTATGAATGTTTCTGACTTTGGCCGTACACTGAAAGATGTATAACAGAAATCTGTTGGGGACTGAAGTCCAATGCACATTATAACTTACAAGTAAAGTATTCTGAAAACGTGTGGTATTTGTCCAGCCCTTACTGGGTGCTCTACTTCCACAGAGGTTTTTCTCTCTGCAGAGTTTTCTCCTGCAATTTCTATGCCAGCCTCATGAACTTGGCAGGTCACTAATAACCACAGCTTTGCATATCCCCTTACCATACTGTTCTTCCTCCTCTTGCTGTGCATTCTTTGATTTTTGGAGATGGGTCTGAAGAGTTCACTAACATCACAGCCTTTCCACTGCCCAGCATCTTGTATAATGTGTTACCTCACTGTGTCTTCCTACACTTTAACTTTTTTAGTACAGTCTGAAGATCCATCAAAGTAAAAAGTAATTTATAATTACCATTTGCACACAGCAAGGTCAATTCTTTACCCTGCTTCAGAATGTGATGGCTTTGGTAACTGCACCAAAGCTATCACAGAAACTGGCCGTACACTGCATATAACGGACTCTCAGATTTCCTTGATACATTCCTTGAAGTTATACTCTGACAATATCTGTGATAGTCACAACTTTTCCAAGGAAATAAGATGAGGTGTCTATGCTGCCAGTAAACCAGGCAGCTCTGTTCCAGGTTACTTTGGCCTGGAAACCCTAGCAGCTTTTGCTTCAGAAAACATCTTGATCCTGTCCTCTAGTGATGAGTCTGGTCCAAAGATAAAATCCATCTCTAAAGATCCTCCTCCTCATGAGGCAGTAGGTCATCAGACAAGACTTCAAGGAAGGCTAAGTACATGGCAGGATGACTTTTTTTTCTTCAAGTGCTACTTGACTTCCCCTAGATAATTCAAGGATAGCAGCATGTTCACACCAAATATTACCACTTGTTTTTAACTTCATCTTTGAAGGAACAATTTGTACAAAGATTTGTCACCATGTTTTTGTATTTCATTCACTTTGGAGTTTCAAGAATTTCAAGAACATGGATGTTACTGTTGTCAATCTTCCATCCAAATAGAAAGAAGTGTTTGATTTGTATGGTCTGTAATTCTGGGTTGCAGAGAATAGAAGAAATATCATAGGATAGCAAGGAAAGTGGAATTAATGTCTGTACTTTTTCAAAGTTATAAAAACACTGCACAAGTTTGCAAGACCTTACCTTTATTCCTTTGAAGTGATAATTTATTTTCTTTTACAATCACCCTTGTAATGGCAAGGGAATGACAAGATAAGAACCATGATTCACCAGATTATGCAAAGGGAGTGTATAAAGTAAGATTATGCTGCGGTCTCAGAAAATAGTTTTACTATACTGACCTTGTCCTCCATCCTGAGGACAGTAGGATTTCAGAGAAAAGTCTTGCATGATGAGATGAAAACATTTAGGAAATTCCCATTATCACCTAAAGTATACATCGCTGAAGTAGGGATCAAGATATGTGAGCTTGGTTTTTAACTTTGCCAATAGACATCCTGAATAAGTGTAGGCAAGTCACTTGAACACTCTGTGCCTATACTTCCCTGTCCATAAAACATGGATAACAAAATGTGCTCTCACAGGCATTTTGTCCACCTTGTAAGTCTTAGAAACAGTGAGAAATATCTCTGGATCCTTTTGTAAATTACCTTTTTTTTAAAATAAAAATATTTAGAGACCAGTATGTGACAAAAAAAAGGAACTTCCTAAATTTTCTGTCAATAATTCATCAGCTACTGCACAGCTCTGGGTGTGTTTCTTATGTAAAATGGAGCACTGTAAGCCAGCATGCAGTTGAACAAGGAAGGTAAAACAATATTAAATAGCTCCCTGTTGATTGAGCAGCAACCTGCCTGTGCTCGCAAAGAATTTGAAGTCTCCCAAGGGAAACTGTGTGTGACCATGTAATTTAAATTCTTTGGTATAATGCAGATAGATACCTTATAATTTTTGAGATCTTGACTTGGAAGCCATATTGATGTCCTTTTGATTTAATGTTTTGTTTTTATAATTTAAAAGTATTTTGAAGCATCAGAAAACTAAGCTGCATAAGCTACTGTATACTGATGAGAATTACAAAATGAGGCTGTTTACCTAAGCCTCATCTCAATGATATGATCTTTTCCCCTGGAAAACTGAATATAAGCAGCTGGTACAGAAACTCTCATGCTGTGAGATATCAGTGGAAGGCTGAAAATTTTTATCATGATGTATTTCAGATTTCCCTAGATTGTCATCTTTCAATTACCAAATCCAGGAACAAATTACCTTTCCAACAAAGTTCAGCAGCTTCTGTGATGCTTTTTCTGCCAGCTTCCAGTCTTTCTAACTACACACAGTTACCAGCTTACTCAATTTTCTGTTCACCTCTGCTTAGCTAAAACATGCTCTTTCCTTGATTTTTCTCTGTTCACAAGTGTAGTCATGCTAGGCTCTTAAGTCATCAGAGTTTTGTTTTTTTGTTTTGTTTTGTTTTTGACTTGCCAAATCTTTGCTTCAGGGAACACCACTTTCTATGTACTTCCACTGATGTTCTTTGCTATTGCAAGCACCCGACTTCATCCTATGTGTTTATCAAACGTGCATCTTGAAATCTGAAGGATGTGTGTTACATAAGCCTGGGAGGGAGTCTTAGCTTATCCTTAGATCTGTTGCTACATCTTTGCCTTTAGACAGCACATGCTGGTGAATCTGGGCAATGATTTCACCTGTTTACGCACAAAGACAAATCTAAACGAAAAAGAAAGCAGCCTGCTCCTTCTCAATGGATCGATTATCTCTTTTCATATATGTGCTGTTGCTTCACCACTTTTGTGGGCTCCTCTATACTTAGTTAATGCTCAGCTGTGACGTTAGCTTCTTAATTCATGCAACTGGTTTCTGGCTTGTTTTATGCAGATGTTCTTAACAGACGTGAGGTAATTAGTTTTTACTGTATTCCTAGCTGACTTTTATGTCAATTCATAATAATGGGTTAAATTGAAACACAAATTCCTGGGACTCCTTGAGAGGTGCTAAGTTAAGATCACTTCTACTTATCCTGCTGACCTGTCAACACCAGGCTCCAATATTCGTATGCAGTTATGCTAGGTTAGTGGTGGGCAGTTCAGGAAAAAATATAGATTAAGCTTGTCAGACCTTACAGTCTGGTACCTGCTTTGCAATGGGATTCCCCTCCTTAGCCCAAGGATTGCAGACAGTCTTGGGCAAAAGAATGAAGGGGGGACGTTCACTTGTTCTTCCTCAGGTGAAAGTGGGCAGCATGGAAACTGAGTCCACCCAACAGGGGGAAGCAGTGAAGGAAGCCACCAAAAACATTTCATTTCAGGGAGGGAAAGGCAGATGTTTTACATGAGCCCCAGAGACTTTTACAAAAGCTCTTATTTCCCAACTCTATCAATGGCATCGCTTCTCCTAGGGAATTCCCCACAGTTAAGGGGAATATCTGGAAACAGTGCATTAGCTGCTTTCCTGATTGCTAATGTCTCATCCAATGACTGTGTTTGCCAGAAGGATAAGGAGCTAGGCAGTTGGAGAGGAGGAGTGTTGTGGCTCATGTTCTCTAACACCCTAGAGCTGCTTCCCAAAACAGATGAGATACTGGGTGTCCATACAGAGCTGTCCCTATGCTCCCAGCCTGGTCTGCCTTCCCTGTCGTGAACATTTACTTGTTTTACAGTATCTGTTAAAGCACGCAGCTGGATCTCACCCTCCTAATCCACTCCCGTAGACACAGTTGTTGAGGGCTCATCTGGCACACCTGAAGCCCCAACATTAAAAGAGGGGAAGAGGCTTAAGGTGCTTTGAGTGGAAGTAGATCTCTCCTGGGTCCTTGGGCAGTGCTTGTAACACAGATCTGCAGTGATGTGGCCCTCCTCACTATGATTTAGTACAATGTGAAAGATGAAAACCCTCTTGGACTCCACTGGATTTCATGCAACCTTGAAAAAAGAGGTCTCTGTGACAGCCAGGTCCCTTAACCATGCCCAATAACTTGGGTATTGGCTGATAGAGCAGGCCAAGAGCTGATCTTTGTTGCTGGAGAACACAATCAAGCTCATTAATGCAGCATGGGTGGAGAGAGGAGGTGTCAAGTCTGGTTTAACGTAATCAACCTTATCAGTGTTAAGTGTCTGCAACTCCATCTGAACTGCAGAGGTGAATTTGAGCTGTGCCATAAGAGGAAGATACTTGGCATGATTTTCAGATTGCTAGATGATTTCTTCCCAGAGACAGCACCTTTTCTGCTGAGTATGGTCCTACTGGTTCAAGAGGCTATGGTTAGGTGGGTTCTATGACATGGCTGTCAGAGCTGAGGTAGGCCAAGGTGAAATCTTGGGTGGGTTGAAACGTGACTGTGTTTATCAGTTATCTTTTCTAACTATAGAAATCAGGTGCATGTGTAAGCAGGAACAAAGCATGATGCAGCTAAATGCCTCCTTAAAAAGCTGGAAGTGATCCTGTGTCTTGCTT